AATGGCTTTATGGCTAGATGGCTAGACTAGGTTTGTGTTTGTTTGCTCCAGCATGCTCCCTCAAACTCTCTCATGCTCAGCTTGCCACCATTACCTACGATCTTCACTCCCCACAAATAAGTGAAATCCTTCAATGCCCATCTGATCTCTTGATTGCAATTGCAATGTTTTCTGGGCTGAATTGCCAGCTCTTTAGGTACGGGGTTGCTCCCGCAATTGAAGTTCAAGACCGTGGCACACAGGCAAACAGTGTATTTGGTCAGTTGTGACACTGTTGGACTTGTTCAAGTCTGCCTTGTCCAGGCAATCCCATTCATTCCCAAATACTTTCTCTACATCACCTCCGAGCTGCTGAAGAACGCAGTCAGCTGGACTTGTTGACATTGACTTCCAAGCATGTTGGGAGTTATTCTGTCGCGTAGCGTCCTTTGACAATCCCAGATAGTAAAGGTGCGCGCCACTGTGGAGTGGCATATGCCGGAAACAGTGGCACCACATGCTCCACTTGCCGGCATCTCATTTTGCAGCTGAGTGGATACTGATGTTTCGCCTCACTTTTGTCGCTGAAAACCTTGCCGAAGGCAAACCACTCGACCAATCACAAGGCCACTATCATTGCAAATTCACACGATCAGAGTCTTTGAGACACAGCAGCTATTTTTGCGGTCACCAGCACGTTCTGCACAGTGTCGTTGTGCTCCCTGTTCCCAGATTTGGTGTCATAGCATAGTGATTCGACATACCAGAACGGCGGCACTTTGAGTATCCAGGTTTGCCTTCCCCATGTTCAAGTGGCAGTGAGTGGTGACGAGAACGCTTGAAGCCAAGCCTTTGAAGAGTAGCTGTGTCAGCTGGCCAACCTCTTGTATTGTAGAAACCCTGTACTCACCAACATGTCCGAAAGCAAAGCACAGAGTGGAATGGAATGCACGGTCTTGAAGCACAAGGAATGCGCGCGAGATAAGAGTAGGCCATCAGAGTCCTACTGCTGAATCTTTCTAGTAACGACCGAAGCTACTAGGTGGAGGCCATCGCAAGTAGGTTGGAGGCAATCGCTAGTAGTAACAAGAAGCTACTAGAAGCAAAGGGTATCACTACTAGGAGCAAGGATGCTACTAGGGGCTCCTGGCCTTACTACTAGGAGCAAGGACGCTACTAGGGGCTCCTGGCATTGCTACTAGGAGCATTCTTGCTACTAGTAACAAGAAGCTACTTTGAGATCCGAGATGTTTCTTGGCGCCAATTAATTGAGGGCTGCTGTTGCCGGATCTCTGACGAGGGCGGCGGAATTCCTCAGAGCAAGCTCTCACAGGTTTGGTGTGGAACCTAGAGAGGTAGGAAGTGCACAACTCTTAATACAACCATTCCTGACGTATGTGTTAAGTGCCTTCAGTTTTGCTTTGGTCTCACTTGCCCTTTCCTGTGACGTTGCAAACATTTGTAAACTCTTTGAGGTCCTATTTGTATACCACTGCTGATCCGCTTGAGATGACCTTGCCAGAGCCCCCAAAAGGCCCATCAAGTGGCTCCCATCAGGTCAAATGGCAAGTCTTCAGCTTTCAATTGGTAGATGTGAATATCTGCTCAAGGTCAAGAAAAGCAGTCGATGTTCCAACAGACCCCAGAGTTCTTCAGGTGTGGCGGTTGATTCTTCAATGCAAACGGCCCAAGAGTTTTAGCTGTGCAGTGAACAAGGGCATGTGGGCCGTTGCCAGGATGGCGAATCCCACGGAATGTCACCACCTTAGTGACAATAAGAACGACTAAGTTGGGAAAACGTGACGAGCAGCTCTAGTGTAGCAGAGGGACCGCTGTGGGTCACCTTTGGCTGGCCTTGGCTGCGGGTTTGGCCCTAAGCTTGAAGGTGGCGTCAGTCGCAAGATCCAATATTGGTCAAGTGGTTCCTTTGCTCCTAGTAGCTTCTTGTTACTAATAAATAGTAGGGCCAGGAGCCCCTAGCAGCATCCTTGCTCCTAGTAGCGATGCCAGGAGCCCCTAGTAGCGTCCGATCGCTCCTAGTAGCGATGTATTTGCCGTAAACTACTCCAGGTTGCCTTTGAGCCGTTTGTATGCTAAGCTTTGACCTCGGCATGTTGTGTAACTTTCAACTGCGACCTTTGATGCTCAAATTGATTTCATATCATCATATATCTTCTCATTTCTCGTCGTTTCAGGCATTTTGGAGGAACTGTAGAACTGCAATCAATGCCACGATTTGGTTGAAGTCTCAGCAAGGAGGTCCTTCATGCTTCACCTTGAATTGCCTGTTGGATTATGAGCAATCGACTGAATTATCGTTTTATGTATGAGTCATGACCAGCATGCAGGACTGGTGGAGGGTGCTGTTTTACTGCAACGGTCTTCACCCCTATATAGAGTTTCCAAGGCACTAGAAGAAGATTGAGCTAGCCCGTTTTTTGGTGCAACTTTGTGGACTTAGAAAATCTTCTTTGGATTTTGGGCCTCGAACCACGGCGTACAGCAAAAAAGTAGTTGCTTCCCCGTCCCTTCCCAAAAATAATCAGACAATAACTGCCAAAGTAGTATCGCCAGCTGATTGCAAAGCCACATCCCAGTCTTTTTGCTTTGCCGTGCCTCAAACTTGTTTGAATCTTTAGGAGACAACCCCGAATCTATTTCCAACCTAATAGCAACGGCCTCCAACCTAATAGATGGCCTCCAAACTAATGGGAATGGCCTCCAACCTAAATAGCATCAGCCTCCAAACTAATAGCAATGGCTTCCAACCTATAGCAATGGCCTCCAAACCTCCAACCTAATAGCAATGGCCTCCAAACTCATAGCATGGCCTCCAGCCTAATAGCAACGGCCTCCAAACCAATACAAATGGCCTCATAGGAATGGCCTCCAACCTAATAGCAACGGCCTCCAAACTAATAGCAATGGCCTCCAACCAAATAGCAATGGCCTCCAACCTAATAGCAACGGCCTCCAACCTAATAGCAATGGCCTCCAAACTAATAGGAATGGCCTCTAACCCAATGGCAACGGCCTCCAAACATAGCAATGGCCTCCAACCTAATAGCAATGGCCTCCAAACTAATAGGAATGGCCTCCAACCTAATGGCAACGGCCTGCAAACTAATAGCAACGGCCTCCAACCTAATAGCAACGGCCTCCAAACTAATAGGAATTGCCTCCAACCTAATAGCAACGGCCTCCAAACTGATAGGAATGGCCTCCAACCTAATAGCAACCGCCACCAACCTAATAGCAATGGCCTCCAACCTAATAGCAACGGCCTCCAAGCCAATAGCAATGGCCTCCAACCTAATAGCAATGGCCTCCAAACTAATACCTAATGGCAACGGCTTCCAAACTAATAGCAATGGCCTCCAACCTCATAGCAACGGCCTCCAACCTATAGCAATGGCCTCCAACCTAATAGCAATAGGCAATAGCCTCCAAACTACTAGGAATGGCCTCCAACCCAAATAGCAACAGCCTCCAACCTAATAGCAATGGCCTCCAACCTAATAGCAACGGCCTCCAAACTATTAACAAGGGCCTCCAACGTAATAGCAACGGCCTCCAACCTAATAGCAATGGCCTCCAACCTAATGGCAACGGCCTCCAAACTAATAGCAATGGCCTCTAACCTAATAGCAATGGCCTCCAAACTAATTGGAGCGACCTCTAACCTAATAGCAACGGCCTCCAACCTAATAGCAATTGGCTCCAACCTAATTGCAATGGCCTCAAACCCAATAGCAACGGCGTCCAAACTAGTAGGAATGGCCTCTAACCTAATAGCAATGGCCTCCAACCTGATAGCAATGGCCTCCAAACAAATAGCAATGGCCTCCAAACAAATAGCAATGGCCTCCAAACTAATAGCAATGGCCTCCAACCTAGTAGCAACGGCCTCCACCCTGCTGGCAATGGCCTCCACCCTGCTGGCCATGGCATTTTACTTGCTGAAGGGAGTCCCCCCTGGGACTGGTGGCGGGGAAGGGGCTGAGTGTCTAGGTCTGAAGGCAACCTAAAAAGAAAGCACATAAAAGCTCAGAAGAAGAGGTCCAGGATGAAGTAAGTCAAAGTGTTCTCGAAGCCCGAGCAGCACGGTTTCCACATTTCAATCGTTTTTGTAACACGTTCCAAGTGGCATCGGGTGCCTTCCACATGAACAAGCAGTTCTCGGAACTGGAGCCAAGATCAACTGAAGGCCACCAATCATAGGTGCACGGTCGACTGTTGAAATTCAGCCTGAATCAAAGAAGCCACCTTGTCTTGTGACGGAAAGGCAGGTCTGTGGGATAAACCATTGACACAGGTGCCTGCACCCTGTCGGTACAAAGAGCAAATGCGAGCACGCTGCACATGTGCTGGCCAGACCTGATGACCACACAAAGAGACTGCTTGGGCAAAGATCGTGGCAAATTGTGCAGCACATTCGTTCCACGTGTATCGAAAGGCAAGGGCTTCAGCCTGGGAACGGGCCCAGGCAAACACAGGCTGCTGACCTTCGGAGGAACGATGTAAAGGAATATACCCTCGAGAAAAGTCGAAATTTAAGAACCAGGATTAACCCCTAACTTGTCATGCGGTTTTGTATGAACAGTCATGTTTAGCTAGGTCGGTAGAAACCTTTTACACGTTTCACACCGACCGTGCGTTTGGCTCAAGAAACGATTGCGCCCGCGGTCGTTTCAGCGCTCGTGCACGTCGCTTCGTTCGGTCGCGCCGTGCCATTTCGCTCTCGTGCTTTTCGTGCATTTCGATAGGTTGCCGTATCGCGCTCCCTTCCTTCGCACGACACCTCGTTCGCAACGGGTACCAATCCTTCCGGTGTTCCCCGTCGCGTTCCAACCCGTGCCAGGGTTCTCCATACAATAGGATACCTTTCCGAACACCTTCCACTCCGTAGGTTGTGGTGGTTGTTTGGGGCTGATATTCCGGAACCCTTGTCACTTTCATTGGTTATCAGCCGTAGGTCTAACCAACCTACGAGCTCTAATAGTCCGCCCTCTCTAGGCCCAATGCCAAGAGTGACACCACCTCGATCCCCACGCTCTGAGCCTGCGCAAGCCGCAGCCTCTGGCGCGGAGTCTTCGTTAGGTCCAAGTGTCAACCCCGATCCTGGTCCAAGATCCGTGACAGCAGCCGACGCGCAAGCCGCTGCTCTAAGCGCGGATTCGCCAGGAGAGGGTGCCAACCAGGCAGAGGCTGAGGTGACGTCCTTGTCGGAACTCGGTTCATTAGCCGTCGATGCATTGAACCTGTTCATTGACAACCAAGACCCACCAGCCGCTGCCGCAGGCGCGGGTTCAGAAAGCTCGAAGTGGGCAGGTGCAGCCTCTGAGGCTGATTCGGGCCCAACTCTCTTCCCGCCTTCCGTGATTGAGCACGAAGATAGGGACCTCGAGCTTGAAGAGCCCTTCGCCGGTCCAAAGGGTCTAGACTATCCCGGCGACACAGAGATCCATCCTCTCGATAGCCCCACGGCCGAAGACCATCCGGCCCCCGTGGATGAGCATTCGTTAGCTGGCTGATGATTAATGTTTTCTTTTTATTCCTTCTCAATGTTCCTGAAAAGTTTCATCTCCATTCATCATCAACCATACATGGGAGTTTGCTTGAGACATGAATTAGTCTCCTAGGTACATATCATGATTGGTAGGTGGTAAGTTCTATGATGTTGTCAATGACCCATATGGAAGTTCACTTGTCAATGACCAACCATGATAAATCACTGTTTGTCACTGACTCGCCTGTTGGACCTTCTTTTGCTCAAATAGCTGGCACCCTGGGCCCTTGGTGTGAGGACTGCAGCTGTTGAGGTTCCTTTATTGCTGTTAAACGAAAGGACGGATTACAATCATGGTCAACTGACAACTGAAACATTTGCCATCGTTGGTCACTGACTATTAGGAAAATCAAATGGTTTCTCAACTGCATGCCTGGCATTGACGTTGATGATGACTGCAGTTGAGACCGTGAAGTCATTGACTGTAAACTTTGATTGGCCCGCCAGGATGGACCATGTGTTGGAGCCCAAATTGTCCTGGTTTTCACTGTCAGGTGAGTGTTGCCGTGAGGTGTCATTTTTGTTTTTGTCAGTGACTGGGGTTGACAACTGTTTGTCATTGTCATTGACTGCTCACTATGACCCTAGCTTCAAGCTTCACATGCAAGTCGGTTGAATGTTTCCATTGATGCGATTCATGTGGGGCCAGTGGGTGTGATTTGAATGTTTCCACTGAATGTCTCACCTTCGTCCTACAGCATCCAACTTAGGCCAGGATCCATTCCTCCCAGACTCCGCTTTGGTCTCAACAGCCAGTCTCTCAGCCATGTGGTTCTTAAAGTGTCCTTTGCTGTCAGTGTCTTTTGCCCCCACCTTTTGAAGCGCGTGTCATTGACTTTGAGAGGTTCGTTGACATGTGAAAGCGTCATTGACATTGAGCAAGTCGTTGGGGGAGTTCATTTGGTTTGAAATGTGAGAGCGTCATTGACATTTGTTTTGTGAGCAACATGTGGCTCATGGACATTGGACGCTGTCAGAGACAGACCACAACAGGCAACAATGACCATGACGAGACGACCAATGATTTAGATACCTGTCAATGTCGACTTAGGGCTTGCTACCACCAAACTAGAGTCAAAACCAACCTGACACATGAAACAAACTGACATCACCAAACAAAACTCACATCTCACCCAACTGTATCACAAGCGTCATTGACGTCTCCTCTGGCACCATGCCAAAGAGGAAGCATGGCCATTGGGATGACGATGGTGTTGCCAGCGAGGAGGAGGCTTTGGAAGAGCTGGGCAACATCATGCATCTTCGCAATTCAGCTACTTGGCACGGACGTTGACATGAGTGTGAGTGAATCTGATGAATCGCGTCAGCGTGAAGAAATTGATGTTTTAAGTTCATCTTGTCACGCGCCAAAGGTTGTTGGTGAAGCCCCGGCGGAGAGGGCGAAGTGGCCGAGCCGGGTGATGCTTCTCGGGTGGGCAGCTGACCCGCGGTGCAGCTGGGGGACGGAGAACCCGATCCAGGTGATGAACGAGATCCCGGCGGAGGCGGTGCACCACAACTTGGCCCAGCTCTTGAAGAAGGATCCAGCTGTTGAGTTGTTCCTTGTCAGAAGTTGTTAAATTCATGAGTTTGATGTCATTGTCTTTAAAAGGTTTTCAATCGCAATTCAATTTGTGAAGATGGCTGGATGTTCATTGCATGTCGGAAGATGACTTCAACCTGATGTCGTTGTCACTTGATGACATGTTTATTAGTTTGGTTCTGGTATGGTGACTCAGGCCGCGTCAGAAGCATCTCTCTGGCACCCGATCCATCATCCAGCGCTCTGTGGCTTGTCCTGTCATTCAGGATTTGTTCAGTCAGGTTGCGCATCAGTTCACTCGTGCTATAATACTTATATCTTGTTACACTGGCCGCCGTGTTCACTCATTCAGTTGTCAGGTCTTCCGCCACTATGCTGCCACTGAGATTGCACGGCGGTTGTTCTCTATGCCGGCGGCGTTGATCACCGTGGGCTGCAAGGCTGGATACCACCGCACGGTGACCTTCCTGGCTCTTCTTTGCTGCTGGCTCTTTGCCACTTGCATGACAAGGACAACAATGGCATGACTCTGTAATTTGTTTCAAGCCAGTCAGCTTTTTGAATTGGGTTGATGTGCATGATGTCTGTTTGCGGGAAAGCACTGTTCTACCACATGAGGTCATCGGTGTCGAGTACAGTGTTTGGATCTTCAGCCTTTCGGGGGAGCGGAACTGGGACACTGACCGCCGAGAGATCCTGGAGTGGTTTTCGGAGCAAGACCCAGCTCGGAGGCACAGTGATTCAAACCTAGACTCAGCCAAAAAATTCAGTCCATGTTTGCAGCAGTATCATTGTGCCATATTGTGCCTTTTTGCTGTCTGCCAGGGAGAATCTGCGGCGCATGGCTCTTCAACGGATGGGGCTGTCGGTTGAAAGGTGGAACAATATCCAAGTGAAGGCATTGCGCACCTTCTACCATTGCACCAACATGTGGCCTTTTGAGCTTCTTGGCATTGTCATTTAGTGGATTAAGTAAATAAGTTTGTTGAGCCAATAACTGGTCATGGTTGATTCCTATTAGCTTCTCACTCGAACTGAACTTGCGGCGCTCAGGCTTCTCAGGCCTCGGCCACTTCCTCGTCAACTGCCTCAACCCCGGCGAGTTCTACCGCCGCCACCGCCGCCCCCACCTCCTTTTCCACCACTGCCGCCAAGTGGGTCACCGGCTGCTGAACTTGATTTCATGGCTTCTCCCTCACAGGATGCCCAACTGGAGAGCCTGCTGATACTTGAGCCCAACTGTGACCCAAGAACAATGTGGTAAGATAATAACATTGTTGCACTGTTAAACACTTGTGTCATTGACTTCACTTGTTTATGACTGCGCGTTCTGTGTCAATGACTGTGCTCTTCAGACGTCATGTTTCTTGTCAATGGCATCACTTTTACCAGTCAAAGACTTTCTTATACACTTGGAGCTCTGAGCCTGAGGTATGATGGTCATGACATGTTTATTTTGATCTGTGAGTCTGAGGAATGAGATCTTTCGATCATTGCCTGTGAACCTGCGTGGCTTTATCATGGTGCTGCCACTGGCGCGGGTGCTGAGATTTGTGCCTATGGTGTGGAGGCAGAACTACACCAACACGTATGAGAACCGCTTCCATCGGTACCTCACCCACTGCTTGTGCTGTGACGTGGCATCCTTGGCTGGAGACTAGCAGCTTGGATGAAATTGTTCATTTGTTCTTGCCACTGTCATTTATGTGTTTTGTATGACTGTATGTCTCAGTCAGCGACAATTTCATTGGATCTCATAGCGCTCTGAAGGTGTCAAACATTGATATGGTGACCGGCTTGAGTATAAAATGCGTGCTGGCCATCCATGTGGTTTGCAAAGTTGTTATGTCATTGTCCATTGTGAACGATTGTCAACGACTCAGCTTAAACGTCAATGACTTAGATGACACTGCCAAGTCAATGACTTACATGTCAGAGTGCGGCCACTGTCAATGACTTAGAGTCAATGACACTGTCAATGACTTAGATAAGAATGTTTGCTGTTTATGTGTAATGGTAACGGCTCAAGTTTGAGACGTGAAAGCCCTTCCATTTCTTGACCTGGTAGCATGTCCAGTTCAGGCTCTCTGCCTACTGATTCTGTAGCAATGGACATCCTTGACCAACAAGGAAAAGACGTGGTTGAATTTCGCCAGTTGAGCAGGCCCCTGATTGCAAATTGCTTGACTGACAACATGTCCCTGATTTGTGCAAGCGTGCAGCTGTTTCCAACATGTCCCAACAGGACGGCAGCTCAAGCATTGGGCCTCATCAAGATCTGCTTCCCAGACGACTATGCCGATGTCTGCAACTTCTTGGCGGGCTCCAGATCTGAAGGTGTGTCTGACATGGTTGAACATTTTGTGGAAAGCGATGCATGACTTCATTGTCATTCATTGTCATTCGATGCATGACTTCAAACGTAGGCATTCGCAACTACTC